TGCTTCTGTAAAGATTTAGCACCTCAGAAACCCTATACAGGGTTCCTATGAGTCATTATCGACTTGATGGCAGCCGGTTTTGGGTTTGGTTTAAGGTTAACATTGGGGAAGATGTGCTTCCTCAGTATATGCCTTTAAGAGTTTATTTTCCTCAAGTTTTTTTCCTTAGTAGAATGGTAAGCTCTGGTAGCATCGGGTTGTTAACCTCAAGATCAGCAGTTTGAAACTACCAGTTGTTCCGTGGGAGAAAGATGAGGCCTTCTTCTCCCGTAATGATTTACAGGAGTCCTGGTGTGGTCCTGTGGGTTAATGTGTTGGACTGCAAAGTCGTTTTGAACCACAAGGTCTGGGGCTCAAGCTCACCAGCTGCTCCCTGAAAACCGCATACGTGGTTGCTATGGGTTGGAACTGATTTGACAACTATGAGTTGGAACCAACTAAATAGCACAAAACCATGACCACCACCAGAATGGTAAGAGTCCTCCTGCCTTGCATGCTGCTGTAGGATAAACAATGGGCTGTTAACCACAAGGTTGGTGGTTCAAACCTAACAGTACCTCCTCGGAAACCCTATACAGGGTTGCTATAAGCCAGAGTTGACTCCATGGCACTAACAACAGAATGAGCATGATCCAACAAGAAAATCCTTTTATTATAAATCCCAATTGTATAAAACACCACTGTAGACAGCAAGCAAGGGATGCTAGTTGCCTTTGAGTTGGCTCCTAAGTAACTCAAGGTAACCTCATGTATGTTGTTTTGGGCCTTAGCAAGCTCTTATGGCACTTCCCATAGAGTAAGCACTGGACTAGTAACTGCAAGTCAACAATTCAAACCTATCAACCAAACTCAAAAACCTTATACATGTGGCTACGAGTCAGAACCAGTTCTACATCTTTACAGAAGCAGACTGCCAGGTCTTTTTCCCCCAGAGCCGCTCGGTGGGTCTGAACTGCCAATCTTTGGATCAACAACATAATGCTATTCACTGCACTACAGGGCTCCTTTCACTTTATATACAACAGAACAAAATGTTGCTAGGTCATGTTTCATCTCCAGGATCTCTGGTATGTTTGAGTCCATTGTAATCCAATCTTTCAAGAAAAACTGAAACTAGAATTAAACGATGAGACAGTTTCTGGGTCACCAATACATATTGAGACTGAATTCATTCCTGAAAATCTGGTATGTAGGAAGAGAAAATGAAGTTTCTATGTGCCTAATAAACATACATAATATAATTAAGGTATGATATTTGGAGTCCTGGTGTAGTGCTGTAGGATAAGCACTTGACCCAAAGATCGGTTTGAATCACCGACCTTGCAAGGTTGACAGTTCAAACTCACCAGTTGGCTCCTTAGAAATCATATACAGGGACACTGTGAGTTGGCACTTAGCAATAATTTATTGTAAAACTGGGTATTATTTGTCACTCCCATAGTAACATTTAGCTTGCTATTTCATAGGGTTTAATTTACCAAATGTTATTTTGTGGTGTTCCGTTTGCTTGGTAGTAAAGACTCAGGGTTTTTGTAAGTTTACTATAACATTCCGCTATAACTCCACCAGAAAAAATTTTCAGATGATGTGGGGAATATGAATTTAAAAGTAACTCACATTCAATGAGACTATCCCCTTCACCCAATAAAACGGGGAAAAGTTACAAGAGTAAGGCTGTACAACTGATGCAAGTGCACCTAACAATGTCAAAACAACTTGATATTATTTAGATTAGTAAAAATAAAAAAGACAAATTAGATGTGAAGGGTGCAACAATACTCATCAAGCTAGAATTGACATCAGATTTCAAATATTCTGCTAATAATGAATCAATTTAAATGCTAAAGCTTACCTCAAGACCTTAATAAGCAGGGTAATAAAAAGTATGCTTTTAATTAAAAGTGATGGTCCTTAAGTCAATAGTTAAAAGCTATCAAATACTACTTCCGTGAGAGAAAGCTAAGGCTTTCTGCTCCCATGAAGATTTATAGCCTCGGAAACCCTGTACAGGGTCACTATGAGTCGGAACTGACTCAACAGCACATAACAAAAACAACAACAGGCTTCAGTCCATTTAAATCAAAGCTGCGGATTTGGACTTTAAGCAAGCTATTTGTTTTAAAGCACACCAACTAGAATATAGTAACAAAATATGAAAGAGGGTGGATTTAAAAAAAAAATGTAGTGAAGTCTTGTTATGAGATCATTTACTGGAAGTAGAGAAAGAAGCAAGCTGGATTCAGCAAACAGGTCATCTGTAGTCACATAAGAACTTCCAGAATGATGGACTTGTTTTTCCACCAGCATTTTCCCAGAAATACTTAAAGCAACACATATAGGTTACTACTGCCTTTGTAGACAATTACATATTTAACAGAGGAATCCAAGTTAAGGGGGACTATATGAGATCAAAAATGTATATGAAAGTAGACAGCAAAAAAAAAAAAAAGTAGATACCATCTTGCTAGTTAACAGATTGTCTCAGTGTTCATATTACTCTGAAAAAAACTCACACCAAACTCATGAGTTTCATAACCTAAAATAAAAATGTCAACTAAAATCATTATTCTATTTGTCAAGGTGTAAAGGTTATCTTCAAAATCAACAGCCAGAATTTGGATGCAAATTTTACTTTAAGACTACCAATGACTTAGTATGCTCGAAGGAAGATTTGATGTTTAAATCATCAAAAATTTAAGGAGACAACTAATGCTAACAATGTGTGGTATTTTAAAATATTGTGTAGCAAATAAAATATTTCTGAACATTTAAGTCTTACAAAGAGTCATTTAAAAAATAAAAGCCACAATAAAGTCCAATTTGCAATATTTGAAATGAGTCTAACACAATTAAGATGTATCATAGTCAACAAAACCTATGCCAAGAAATTTGGAAGACAACTATCTGACCAACTGATGGGAAGAGATCTATATTTGTGCCCATTGTAAAGAGAGGTGACCCAATGGAGTGTGGAACTCATCAAACAATATTTTTGATATCCCATGTGAGCAAACTTTTACTAAAGGTAATACAGACATGGCTGCAAGCATACATTGACAAAGAACTTCCAGAGGTTCAAGCCGGATTCAGAAGAGGATGTGGAACGTGGAATATCATTGCTGACGTCAGATGGATCTTGGCTGAAAGCAGAGAATACCAGAAAGATGTTTACCTATACTTCATTTACTACACAAAGGCTTTCGATTGTGTGGATCGTGACAAGCTATAGAAAACATTGAGAAGTATGAGTATTCCAGAACATTTAATCGTGCTCTTGAGGAGCCTGTACATAGACCAAGAGGCAGTTGTTCTAACACAATACGGGAACACTGAATGGTTTAAAATTAGGAAAGGTGTGTGACAGAGTTATATATTATTTCACCAAACTTATTTCAACCTTTATGCTGAGCAAATAATCTGAGAAGCTGGGTTATATGAAGAAAAACATGGCATCAGGATGAGAGGAAGACTCATTAACAATATGCAATATGCAGATGATACAACCTTGCTTGCAGAAAGTGAAGAGAACCTAAAATACTTACTGATGAAGATCAAAGATCCTAGGCCTTCGGTACAGATTACATTTCAATGTAAAGAAAACAAAAATCCTCACCACTGGACCAATAAACAACATTCTTATCAATGGAGAAAAGACTGAAGTTGTCAAGGACTTCATTCTTCTTGTTATCAACCATCAACACTCATGGAAGCAGCAGTCAAGAAATGGAAGCAGCAGTCAAGAAATCAAACACTTACTGCATTAGGCACATCTGCTGCACAAGCCCTTTTTAAAGTGTTGAAGAGCAAAGACTTGGGGACTAAGGTGCGCCTGACCCAAGTCATGGTATTTTCAATAACCTCATAAGCATGTGAAAGCTGGACAGGGAATAAAGAAGACCATAGAAGAATTGATGCATTTGACTTACGGTGTTAGAGGAGAATACTGAAAGAGCAATGGGCTACCACAAGAACAGATATGCGTTGGAAGAAGTGCTGCTGGAGTGCTCCTTGGAGGCCAGGATGGCCACACTTCGTCTCTCATATTTTGGACATATTGTCAAGAGAGACCAGTCGCTGGAGAAGGATATCATGTTTGGTAAGGGGAAGGATGACAGAAAAAGAGCAAGACCCCTATCAAGATGGACTGGCAAAGTGGCAGCATCAATGGGCTGAAGTGTGGCAACAATTGTGAGGTTGGCCAAGGATCCGGCAGTGTTTTGTTCTGTTGTGAACCGAGTCGCTGTAAGTCAGTAATGACTCAATTGCACCTAACAACAACAACAACGAACGCACCACTTGTCAGTCTGTTGTACTGTGGTGGCTTGCATGTTGCCGTGAAGCTGGAAGATAGGGTCACACATGGTGGGCAGGTTTCTGCAGCGATTCCTAATTAAGACAGACTAGGAAGAGAGACAACTTTTGAATAGCTAGTCACTGCAAACTTTACAGATACCAGCCAAACACTGACACATACAGTGCCAGAACATGAAAACATTATGAACAGTAGCAGAACAATGTCAGATATAGTGCTGGAATAAGAGTCTCTAAGGTAGGAAAGAACTCAAAAAAAAAAAAAAAAAAAGATATATCATAGAAATGATTAATAGGTTAGTTCAAATTACACTTTGTACAAGACTATTTGAAATTATTTAAATGTGAAGTGTAAATTTAAATGAATACTGATGTAACAATACATAGATGAAAGAAATATGTCATATTTAGCCATTAACTCAAAAGACGTGGCAGAGTCTACCAGTGTCTGGCAGTTAAATTCAGCAGACACACTAAACAGCAAAGACATAAACAAAGAAAACCACACAAACAAAATGGAACAAAAAACAACATTCCACATTTGAAGAATAACGTTTATCACGTGGTCTACCCTTACTGTTAATTTAGAACACTAACTCCAACAGTAACATATTTACCAAATAACTTTTTCTGAGTATCAATTAAAGTTAAAAGTTGGTGGCAGTAAAAACAGACAAAACAGTACTTACATTTCTACTGAACTTGGTAAAAGAATGATGCATATAAAACCTGTGCATATAAACAATCGCAGTGTTTATCGTAAGCTGAGAGCTGGAACGTAACATTTAGGAAAATATATCAGAAAAACAAGAGCTCATTTCCAAAACGATCGGTGGAAAATTCCTGATCCACGGTTCTTTTTTAATGCCTCCTATTCTCTAAAAACTACAGTCAATTTAAAAAATATTAGTCGTGTGTGAAGCAAGGGAAAGAATAAGCTCGCTCCTAATTAAATAACAATTGCTGAGTACTTCACTCTAACATAGCTACTAAGAAACGACAGAAAATACTTTTTAACGGCTACGACTATCTAAACTCAAAATAAAACACATGAAATCAAAGAGCACGTATCTACACAAAACCATGCTAAGAACATAAAGGCTTCCAAGGTACAAGAAAACCACCATCAAACCAGCCAGGAGTGCCGGGAAAGGCCGCGGACAACTAAGCCTCTCAGCACCTCTAGCCCTCCTACCTCTCAATTCTTCTCAAACGGGGAAAAAAAATCAAAGAAGCTGCCCCTTTTCTGCGATAACCCCTAAAATCGTTCTTTCCTCTGGGCGGCACTCCCATCCTCCGCCGCCGCCACCACCTCGCACGTCTCTAAATAGATTACACAACACAGCCGGCCAGCCCTCAAGCCCGGGCCCCCATCTCTTCCCCCGCTGGCCCCTCGCGGATTGCCGAACCCTAGCCTTCCATCCCTTATGGGTCAACAAAGTCCAGCGAAGGCCTAGGCGGCGGCGCCATATTCACTAAGGCACCAAGACGGGCGACCGGGAGAGAAGCATGGAGGCCAGGGTGGGAGCGGCGGAGGGCCAAGAATAAGAAAGGATACACATTGAGACGTTGCCCCATGTCCTGGATGAGATTGGCCGCCTGCTGCCGGTACGAGAGCTCTTTATCAGCCTCCATTCCGCAGCGGCGGCTCGGCGTGTTCTCCAGTTGTTCCCGAGTAAAGAACCAGCGAGAAGAAGCTCCACGGGCCGACGCCATGACACTTCCTCCTCCGCCCGCTCCCTCAGCCACCCCCCACCCCTCCTGGCTCGCGGACTCCCCGCCAAGGCCGCGCGACCCCGCCCCACTCCGCTCGCCGTAGACTACGCACCTCCCCTTTTCACCCGGTGCCACAGCCCTTGCGCGTGCGCGAAGGCTCTCTGCCGGCTCTAATCGTCTGCTTTCTTTTTCCTTTCTCCGGCCTCACTCTCGCGCACGAGACCACAATGCTCCGCGCCGCATGTCATTTGGAAGCGCCGAAGGTGGGGTCCACTCGGAAGGGAAATTTTGGCGCGGTGCATGTTGGGTCTGTGATTGGCCGGCCGAAGGGCCAGGGAGTATGTGAAAGGTGTATGTTTTAGTCGAGACACGCGGTTGCACCGCAGCGCCATTGAGTCCGACACTGGACCTGAGCAGCGCTTTGGGGGAAGAAAAAAACCTCATATTTCGCAAAGTCATGCTACAACCTTTCTTTTTAGGTTCATTCGCGCAATCTCCGACTTTCGACTACAAACAGCCACCGCCTTGCCGGCGAAAAGTACCCAGTCTGGGAAAATGTAAAGGAAATAACTCTGCTGTGTACTTTTTGATATATTTGAGTCCTATCGACAGTTAATAACCGGAGAGTTGAAATCCAAAATATATTTCCATTCCAGATTGAAGGTGTGTTTTTAAAGTAAGCTATA